TCGACCGACCGCACTAGGTCGGGGTCGTGGGCGGCTCCGTGGCGATTATCGCGGGAGGACCGCCACGGTCCCTTCCCCCTACGCTCATTGAGCGGAGGGAGAGGTTTGTGGCGGTCGAATGGCGCGGCCTGGTGGTGGTCAGTGTTCACGCACCGCCCCGCTGGCTCCTCGTGTCATTCAAGGTGTATCTGGGCGGGCTGCGGGACGTTGTGTCGACGATCCCCCAGGACGGACGCGAGGGGTGGGGCGGTGTTGGACTGGGCGGCGGGCCTAGGCCTCCGATTGTTCAATCGGGGGTCGGCCAGCACGTGCGTGCGATACCAAGGGGAGAACATCGTGGATTTATCCTGGGGGTAGCCCATGTCTGGGGGTGGAGGGTCTCTGAGGTCGAGACCCTGTCGTACCGTCTCTATATTTATATGGAGATGGCCGACACCAACCCGCGCCGCCCGGCCGACCGGCCGCGCCGTTGGGCCTCAGAGGCCCTGGATGAGGACGCGCTGATGGCGGCCTTTCTTGCTGTGGCCTGGCCGGAGCCGCAGACCGGGCCCGTCGCGGACGTGGAGGCGGAGTCCGAGTGGTTTCGGGACGCGATGCAGTCGATCTGCGACTGCGCAATGCCCCGGGCCCAGACTCTGCTTCAGAGGCCGATGTACTGGTGGTCGCACGAAATCGCGGCACTCCGTTAGGAAGGAGATAATCGCGAAATGATAAAATCGTTTCATGAGGTCACCCGAGTTTCATATACAGGGTGTTTGGTAACTGGTGGTACAAGCGAAAAGGGGGTGATTCTACATGAAAGAATAAGTCGAAAATATAGAATAAACATTTTTCGTTTGAGGCTTTGTTTTCGAGAAAATCGACTTTGAATTTTCGCCCGGTACGCATGCACTTGATCATGTCTCGTTATAACGGATTTCACTGTAGATCATTGTCTCGACTGAAGTTATGTTGATAAACACTTCCAATGTCACAGAAGTGTTTTCCTACCTATTATCTTACTATCCGACTTTTATCGCTAAACACTATCAGTATCTATTAGTCTACCATCATGTCTACATACAGCAATCGGGAATATACGGACATGATACTTTCGTTAGGTGCGTGTGGTGGAAACGCATCAGCCGCAGCTAATCATTACAGACACCGGTATCCCAATCGTCGACATCCTGACAGACGAGTTATTCAAAGAGTAGAACGAACCCTCGGCGAGTATGGTTCTTTTGAACAACTTAGACGACATGGTGGTCGTCGACGACACGTTAGTGTGAATGTTGAAGAGCAAATACTAAGGGACATGTTACAACATCCTGACATACAGTCTGTCAAGTAAGAGCGTGATCGACTTTACCGACAGCTAATAAAAGATATCATTCTAATTTATTCATGAGCCGATAGAAGGAAGCTTTGTCCTTGATGCATTGTCAAGAAAGATTCAATTGTCGTTGATTTTTTGGAAGAGAAACACGTTAAGCGTCATGAGTGCTAAATACGCGTCGCGCTACGAGGCTGTGTTCCTTTGCACCCACCCAAAAGGTCCGAAAATGTCGCAATCAGCGGCTGCTAAATACATGAGAAAGTCAAAAGCATTCGTACAGAAGTGGATACAGCGATATAAACTGGAAAAAAATGTCGATGATTTACCGCAACGTGGCTCGATAGGCAAAGTGGACGAAAAAGACGAAAAAAGAATAGTGAATCTGTTTTCGCGGAATCCTGCTTTGACACTGCGTCAAGGACAAGCAAAATTAAAGTCAAAAGGTTTAGATATATCGTACGAAGCTATCCGAACCCATCTCCATGCTCATGACCTGAAATGGCGCAACACAATGAAGAAACCTCTGTTGACTGAAAAACATGTGACGAAGCGACTCGCTTGGGCGCACGAGAATATCGCTGAAGATTTTAACAACGTAATTTTTACTGATGAATGTTCTATATGGGCACGTTGTATCCTCACGCGAGCCTGCTCAACTTCCACCAATAGGCTTGTAAAACCTATACCGTAAAATACGGAATAAAGGTGCATCTTTGGGGCTGCTTCTCAAAGCAGGGATTCGGCACTTTGCACCTGTTTACCTACAGCCCCTGCTCACTTTATTAGACTCACCTGAAGAATTGGTACTTTTTGAAATCCTATAAGGAATTCAACGCTGTTTTCAACCTATGAGGTAATGATTTCGTACTACAAGGTTGCCTTATGGGTTGCCTATCCAAATGTAGTTGGTTTGATTTAAAATTAGGTCGGTAATATCGAATTCTGATTGAAGTGTTTCTTAACCTAGAAATTTTGTAGTTTTCGCTTGTTGTGTATTACATTATAATCAAGGCTCTCAATATTAATTTTTGCACATTTCATTTTGCACAGCATTAGAAGTTCTAAGGTAAGTATTTATTTCACTAATTAATACTACTGCCTATAATTTTTATTGTGGTTTTAAAAAAGGCATCAGTCGATTGATCTTCGATTGGAATTTTTCAGATGGGCAAACGTAAAGATCTTTCTACAGAGCAAAAGTCGTCTGTAATTGCATTAATTCGCAATACAGAATATAGCCAACGAGAGATTGCTAGAAAATGTGGGGTATCGCAATCCTCTGTCAAACGTTTAAGTAATAAGCAGGCCACGGAAAAGAAAGCGTCCACAGAATCCCCATGAAGTTAAAGGCAAAGCGGCTTCAACAAGTGCGTCCGCTAGAAAACTATCTGGCAATTCGTTGGAAGTACCTATAATTGCGAGCCACGGATACAGAATAATTGAATTTGTATCACTGTTTACAACTTTAAGCAGTATTATAAAGTGTAAAACGTGTGATTCAAACATTACTTTTGGTGAAACAAGTGTTAGGGGACTTGGATTCAATTTAGTTGTGAATTGTGAAAACTGTGAACCGCGACATATACAGTCTGTCAAGTAAGAGCGTGATCGACTTTACCGACAGCTAATAAAAGATATCACTCTAATTTATTCGTGAGCCGATAGAAGGAAGCTTTGTCCTTGATGCATTGTCAAGAAAGATTCAATTGTCGTTGATTTTTTGGAAGAGAAACACGTTAAGCGTCATGAGTGCTAAATACGCGTCGCGCTACGAGGCTGTGTTCCTTTGCACCCACCCAAAAGGTCCGAAAATGTCGCAATCAGCGGCTGCTAAATACATGAGAAAGTCGAAAGCATTCGTACAGAAGTGGATACAGCGATATAAACTGGCAAAAAATGTCGATGATTTACCGCAACGTGGCTCGATAGGCAAAGTGGACGAAAAAGACGAAAAAAGAATAGTGAATCTGTTTTCGCGGAATCCTGCTTTGACACTGCGTCAAGGACAAGCAAAATTAAAGTCAAAAGGTTTAGATATATCGTACGAAGCTATCCGAACCCATCTCCATGCTCATGACCTGAAATGGCGCAACACAATGAAGAAACCTCTGTTGACTGAAAAACATGTGACGAAGCGACTCGCTTGGGCGCACGAGAATATCGCTGAAGATTTTAACAACGTAATTTTTACTGATGAATGTTCTATATGGGCACGTTGTATCCTCACGCGAGCCTGGTCAACTTCCACCAATAGGCTTGTCCAGCGGACCGTAAAACACGGAATAAAGGTGCATCTTTGGGGCTGCTTCTCAAAGCAGGGATTCGGCACTTTGCACCTGTTTACCTACAACCTAAATGCTGAGAAAATGCTGCAAATCTACAAAAAGGCTTTGCTACCGTCTGCCAAACGTTGGTTCATCAGTAAAAATGAGGATTGGATTCTGCAGGAGGACAATGATCCTAAACACCGCAGCAAGCTCTGTACCGAGTGGAAGAACCAATCTGGCATTGTTACATTGAATTGGCCGTCGCAGTCGCCCGATGCAAATCCCATCGAAAATGTGTGGGCGTATATTAAGCAGAAGCTTCGTGGAAAATGCACGCACACTTTGAAGCAGTTATCTTGCGAGATTCGTCGGATCTGGAGATCCTTGCCGCTAGAATACGCCGTCAATTTAGTCGAAAGCATGCCTCGGAGATGCCAGGCAATTATCGACGCCGATGGTGACTGGACGCATTATTAACATAATTGCATCATTTTTCTTATTGAGTACAACGCATATGTGTATATAACAATTTTATTTAATAAATTCTTTTGTATATTTATCCGACCACGCTCTTTCTTGACAGACTGTAAGTACAAGAAACCTTTCTTTGCGGTATAATCTTAGTTGCTTCACGATTCTTCGAATTCTACACGAAAACAACTTACATCCTTATTATATCACCAGAGTACAAGGACTCATACCTCATGATAAGATTTCGCGAAAGGCATTTTGTCATTGGTTGCTTCAACAGCATGCCAACGATGCAGAATTTCTGTTAAAAATTTTATGGACCGATGAAGCGAAATTTACAAGGGACGGCATGTGCAATGTCCATAACGTGCATAATTGGCAAACTGAGAATCCTCATTCTATTCTTGAAACACATTTTCAAGTAAGATGGAACGTAAACGTCTGGGCTGGCATAATCGGGCATCTAATTACTGGGTCATATTTTTTCGAAGGAAATGTAACGTCAGCAGCATATTTCGATTTCTTACAAAACAAACTACCGGAATTATTGGAAGATGTACCGCTGAGAACTAGAAGAAATTTAATTTTTCAGCAAGACGGTGCACCGCCACATTTCAGTCGTCAAGTGAGAGATTTTTTAAACCAACATTACCAAAGTTGGATTGGTCGTGCTGGAACAATAGCTTGGCCACCACGCTCTCCTGACTTAACTCCGCTTGACTTTTATTTATGGAGTCATATCAAATTAATTGTGTATTCTGAAGAAATCACAAGTTGCGAGCAATTAAAAGAAAAGATTATTGTAGCCTTTCATACATTAAAACAACAGAATACGTTAGAAAGCGTTCATAGAAATTTAATTAGAAGAGCAGAATTATGTATTCGGCAGAATTTTCAGCAATTTCTGTAATAATAAACTTTATGATTACTTCAACATATTATTTCATTACGTGTTCCTAATTTTCCGTTACGATAAAAACAAACTTGAACTGCGATAATATCCATCGAGACAATGATCTACAGTGAGATCCATAATAAAGCATGTAATTATCAAGATTTACTTTATTAATGCAAAAATTGTTGAAAATGCTGGCCACCGTACACCGAACGTCGAGATCCATTCATCCACGGCATAGTAGGGTGCATGCGTACTCGACGAAAATTTAAAGTCGATTTTCTCGAAAACAAAGCCTCAAACGAAAAATGTTTATTCTATATTTTCGACTTATTCTTTCATGTAGAATCACCCCCTTTTCGCTTGTACCACCAGTTACCAAACACCCTGTATACTCTTGGGAAAATGTCATGAAAGTAAAAACGAGGGAGTTGTGAACCCAGGAAAAAGAGAGAATACTGCGAGCTGGGCGTTGGAAGAGTTTTTCTAGAAAAAAAACTAACCTAATGCCCAACTCAGCCTCCGGGAAGCAGTAGCGTGTGGTGGCCTCGGAGCGGGGTGGGGTTAAACCATTGGAAATAATAGAAGCAAAACAATGAGGTACCGAAAACCTATTGGTACTGTGGGATTTTGTTAAATACTTTTGCGTTTATTATAATAAAAAGTAACCCCACGCAACGCCGGTGCTGTTCACTTATAATCTGCTTCTTTTATCCTCACCGCTGCTCCGATTCTCTCTCTTCCGGCTCGATGCTTGTCGTTTTTTTTTCACATTCGCAGTACCGTGGGAAGATAAGTGATGGGAAACTAGGATGAGGAATAAAGGGGTCGGTTCGGATTCCCAGGAGTTAAAATTACAGATACCCCGAGACTACTAGATCAGCGGCGGTGACACTGACCGTGGCCCCCGCAGAGCTATACGCCGGGATATTGGCCACAGCCAGGG